CGGAATAAAGTNTGAAAGATTTCTATTCAGCTAAAAGAGAATAGAATACTCTGCAGTCTGTATCACTTGTCGAGCATTTAGAGTTTTAGACAAGATAACATAAAAGCACAAATAATGTACCGTACGTAATCAGTCGATAGTCATAATAACAACAAAGTACAACCAAAGATTATAAATGCATCCTACTAATTGTATGGTTGAGCTTACCAATACCCCATGTAACATCGTTCTTGTCCTCTTTTCTTGAATCTCCCTTTCGGTCTTTCTCCTGTTTGTGTTTCCATTCTTCGACCTCTTCTGCATTCATTATTTGTTTTACCGCTTTCCTACTATCAGAAACATAAATTTCTTCCTCTTGATCATCGCTAGGGCCCTGAATGTGATCGTACAGCACAGCAATACCCTCATGTTAAATACATTAATTAGGCTAGAAAGGCATCGTAGCGTTCAGTCGATCTTTCAGTAACGAATAGTATCTACTCATGACAATTATAATTAATCCATATATTGGATCATACCTGTAGAATATAAACTCTAGAACTACTACCAAATTTTATCATATGACCCACTCTCAAACGATAATAACGACGTGGTTCGACAGGTGATTTATTTATTTGTGATCCATGTGTGCTAGCCAAATCGTACATGTAAAAACCAACTTTACCAGCGTCATCATGATTATATTTGTGAAATTGTAAGACTGCATGACATCGAGAAACAGAAGGATGATCCAGAACAAAGTCGCATACAGGTGAACGACCAAATATATAATAAGCTTTATCATTTAACTTCCAAATATCCACAATACATCCATTCTTTAACACCTCTAAAGTATAATTTTTATCAGCTATTCCACTCCAAATTGGTTCGTCATAAGGGATATTTTTGATGATTTTATCCCTGGTTAGAGACGATTTATTATTTTCTTTGCTAACATGGTGGGAAGTGGAATCATTGCAAGTGGATGCAACTGCGGTTTCATTCGACGCAGTAGATGGTTCATTTGATTTTGCAGTTTTATTGCTTATTGGCAAAGGGGAAGCAAATTTTTCTTTCTGGCTGGTATCCTCTTGGGCATTCGATGGACCATGCGTGGCAATATCCTCTGCATGTTGTTGATCTTCCATCTTGAAGGTATTGGCGACCACTATTTGATCGCTAGCTGGCTGGCTTGCAGAGTTGCTTCAATCAATCTAGTGGTAGCGCTGTCGCTGTAGAGGCTTTACTATGGCAATATCCGAGATGATAGTAACGACACTACTATGTTATAAACATGTTGTACAATGTCATACTGTACAGTGTACATTCCCATACGAGTGTCGTTTCAGTACATTACCAGTACCAGAACATTACAGCAGTTCACGTTAGCTGCAGCCGTGCTGTACCGTACCGTGCTGTACCGTACTGTTCGCTACGACCAAATAGCCAACTGTACAGTACAGTACAGTGTACAGTGTACAGTGTACAGTGTACAGTACTGTACTGTACAGTACACGTGCAGTACAGTACAGTGTACAGTACAGTACACTGTACAGTACTTCTACAGGGCACGATACCAGTACGGTACGGTACAACAAAGCAAAGCCGATGCATAGCTATCGTATTGAATGTACAGTATGGCGAACTTCAAGGTCTTCGAAAATCGGAAGGGTACTGTACTGTACAGTGTACAGTCTGGCTGGTGGAGTCGTGGTGTAGTCTGGGGCATGCCGGAACAAGAACGCGACCGTCCTTCATGTACGTCACACATTACGCAAGCGCATTTTCTGGCGCGAAAAAATAAGTCAAAGTCAAAATAGACTCAGTCCTAAATAAGAACGTACCGAGCATTGCGTGTCATATCATTCAAGCTTCAGTAGTCCCACTGCTGTCGTACCAATTACTTCATCCACCAAGATTGAAGCTACACCGACTTTCACTTCGTCGCCAAGCCGACCAAGACTAAGTTGTCCGACAAAACTGAAAAATTTTCTCCAATTCTACACGAGTTACTGTTCTAATAAGAGTTGGTAACGATGACTTTATTTTATATTTGTCCTTTCTTGATGATAGGATAGCGATCGATCAACTTGTTGCTACCTGACAATCTTTCTCACACTTTTTCAACTATTTCTATGTATGCATTTTAGTTGTGGAGTAATGGCGTTATCTGCAGGAGCAATTCAGGTAACTATCTACTGCTAAAATGCCTTACTAATGTTGTAATAATCCTAGGAGGTTTGCAATCCAATGAAATAACATCTTATCTACCGTAGATTATCCATTCTGTATAGAGTCCTAAATACAGAATAATCGTATTCAACTCACTACTGCATAGAACAAGTTTGCAAAAAACACTTTCATTAAATGAAGATTGTATGCGACCTCCTACAGTACCTCTCTTTACAACTATTTCGCGTGTCAGAACAATCATGCGATCATAGTTGTCTAGTATACACTGTACTGTAGGCTTAAGTGACCACTTTCATCTCTTTCTGGATGATTTTCTTCACCTAGTTGAATAGTTGACTATCACACTTGGCTACATATGGGATATCCTTTACGTCAACCAACAGTTGTCAATCTCTTCTACAGTATAGAAAGTAGTTGATATGCAATTTTATTCAATACAATTGCTTGTTGATGGTAGTTTTCTCTTTCGTTTAGTACATCCCTTCCTATTTATACTTAAATGTTCAGACTCATAACAGCTTTTACTTTTCCAAAAGCGAAACATAACAATACTGGTAACAAACTACTCGACTACCAGTTTCCAAGCCTAATGATGATCTTCTTACAAATTAGGCTATTTGCAACGGTGAAAACCCACCAACACCGATTTTTCAAGTGGCTGTAAGTATCTAATTCATCGGACGTACTCAAAATATATATCAGAAAAATACACGGTATTGCGATACATGCAAATAAAACTAATTCATACTATCATGGGCGGATGCACTTCTACTTCTGTATCCGCGTAATGTCTAGTAATAATTTCCACCGTTCATCAGTTATACATCTTGGAGATCCTACAGACAATCCTTTTGCAGTATATTGATGTATAAATCTTATTGATCTTAGGCTGTAAGAAAGATCCAAAATGAAAAGCTTTCTGTCGAACGTTACAGGTTTGCTAAATACTGAATTGGCTATCGTATAATGAAACTACATTGGGTTACGCAATAGATGTCGTCACTTACCGTAGATATACTTGACATAATACTATCGAATGTATCTGCCTATTTCACTAGTTCATTCGGCTTCTAGCTCAAACTTAGTTGTACGTAATTCTACCTGATAGTTAACTAAATTGTGGAATGAATTTCGTGTTGTAGAATTGTTCTCTCCGATGGCATCCATGCTTATTCATGTAAGTACTGAAACTTATGTACAGTAAAATGATTTTCAATTGTATATACTATAATAAGTTATGTCAAATTATTAAAACCCAGTGTAGAATAACACTATTGAAATCGAAGTGAAGCAAGTTTGAATCATTATTATTCGGTATTTGCATCACATTATCTAGCCGTCATGTTGGCAACTCAACTAAATCAAAGAGTTACTAGTGGTGAATTGGATGCTAAAGCTATTATTAAGCTCAATAACTACACTTGTAATATTGTACAAGAAACAAGGTTAGTAATAAGTAAATAACAACGTTAATATCACTAATAACATAGAAAATCAAGTATTCTGCCAGTTGATTGGCTTACCTATAATTAATAATATTGCTGTTTTACCACTGTAGGAAAGTACTGGTAATCTTAGATTTAACAGTTCTTACTTGTGGAAGTGAAACGGATATAATTGGTCAGCCCAAACCGTATAATGACCAATCTGGTCAGTATTATACTATTAACCTATTTGACTTATTATCATATCGTCATTGATCCTTATCCTATCATACTATTGGTTAATACTGTAATAAATTGATTACCAGTCGTTGATACTATGTTTATCTAATTTAAAATTTTTCAATCTCGTTTAGCCCCCTCAAAATCAAACAATTACCAACCGCAGCAAGAGATACAACAGCAGAAACCAAGTTATGCTCCCACCAATAGATCTATGTAAGAATTATGCTAATTTCTTCATTACCTTGACCTAATCTTACCGTCAACCTTAATATCTACACATAATCTTCATTACATAAGGAACCAAGTGACAAATCCCCGTCCCACCATCCATCCCCAACAGAATTTGGTTGACAAATCCGAAAATCGCATTGTTTTTCCAATCAGTAGCCTCACTCCTTATCAAAACAGGTTAAAAATGCATCATAATTTGGACGACGAAAGTCCCTTGTAATAACCCTGAAATGTTAAAATTGTATTATAAAAGATGGACGATTCGAACTCGTGTAACGAGTAAAAGTGAAATTAGAAAATGGAGCAATTCACGAGGCGAAGGAAAACTATTTAGTGTCGATTTAATTGATGAATCGGTCAGTACTTATTCTCAATTAAAGTACTGTTATAACAATTTAGAATGATTAATAACTTCTTGGCTCCATTCCTACCCTGATAACTCTTGATCTTATGATAGGGAGAAATTAGAGCAACTGCCTTTCGTGATCAAGTCGAAAAATTTA